CTTCACAATGCTTCTCGAATTTGTCGCCAGCCTTGTTGACCCTGGACGCGATGTTCTCAGCTTCATCATATTTTGCGCACGCCTTGATCTTTGTCAGGCGCTCCTTTCCAGCCACCAACACTTTCTCGACAGCCTCATCGATAGTAGTTTGGATGTATTTCAAGTTTCCATGGAGTCCTTCCACATTTTCCGTGAAGCGCTTATCGTTTTGAGTTTCGAGTCGATCGAGTTCGATGCCGAAGAGTTTGACGGCAGCATGTCCCTGGTGGGAATCGAAGGAACAGACGCCGCAGAGAATTTTCTGACAATCCTCGCATCTGATAAGACGCTCCACCGGCCGCTCGATACCACAATTCGAGCAGTTCCTCAGAGCTCCGCTTCTACGAGCTGCTTCCTTCTTGCCCTCAATCTGACTCAGTTGCTGTCCACGTACGACCTTGGCGAAAAAGAAGCGTAGCAGTACGCCGTCGAGACGCCATTGAGAACCGTCGGTCTGTTCGTTACACGTGTTGCACATCCTACCGACCTTCGACTTATTGCCATCACACGGCTGGCAGAGATAGTGTCCACAAGCGCCAACGAAGGCGCTCGCTCCCTCCGACAATCCGATGTCGTCTTGGCATCCGAAACAGACCGGGTCGTTGATAGGCAGAGTGTAGTCGTATCCCTTGTCCGTCTTGTTGAATGCCGGCTGCGTCAAGAATTCCATCAGGCCCAGAAGCGGCTTGTATCCTAGACCGCACGACTTGCACGCGACACAATGAAAGTCCGCGCTGTATCCGGGCCTCCTAGGCTCTCCCTCTTTCAAATCGAACGGCTTCTTGCAACCAGGGCAGTTGAAAACATCCGTGAACATCGACATCTGAAATATCAATTTTCAGCAGCATTCGGTTGCCCTGAGGCGAAAAGGGTTTGTACTGGGGGAGGTGACGGGAATTAATCAGTAGCGTGTGTGTCTTCTGTACATCATTTGCACTTTTCAAATCCAAATTTTTAACGATTTATACCCAAAGTAGTTTTGTTGTTATGGCGTAGAGAGACAGGAGGGTACTATGCGTGTCGGCAAAAAGAACAAGGGCACTTAGCGGATATCATTTTGGCAAGAATCGGCGTACAGAAAAAATAGCGGATACGAGAGGAGCGAAAAACATAGAATACACAATGACTTGTAATGACTCGTATTCAGGGGATCAGGTAAGAGGTTAGCTGGGGGGCAGAGAGAGACAATTAGCGAGAGAAAAAGGAGAAAAAACGAGAAAATGAAGTAGGATTGGAAATGCGAATAGATAAACGACTAGAAATAAATATACAATGATAATTGGGAGGAAGGGCTAGCTTTTGGATCGCCACTCTTCCGGCACAGCACCCACATCCACATACATATGATAGTAGAGGGGGCGGACGGACAGCTTGACGACGCTCCACTTGTTCGTCTCGTTCAGCCCGTCATAGGGGACGCGCTTGTCCGAGTCTTCCAGTAGTTTGTAGCTAAAATGCGCGTTTGCAGGGGCGGTACTGGACTGTTAGGGGGGGGCTATCTAGCTAAATCTTTCGCACTTTATTCTGATTTTAGTCGTTTTTGATTACCAAAAAGCGTCAAAAGGTTTTTAGAAAATACAGAAACTTTTTAAATTTTTTTGTTTGTTTTTCGATTTTGGTGAAAAACAAATTTTTGTGTTAATTTGAACTTTCTATACTTCAAAATTACATAAAAATCTATACCCCCCGCTAATAGGACAGTCCCAAAAAACTTACATGAGCTTTGGAGCCGTCCGCTTCCGCTTGACATGCTTCAACATGCTGAACCGTCCGGTGGCCGGTTCCGGTCGTTCAATCGTGTAGTTCAAGGAGAGGATCCGCTTTCCTAAAAGCTGACATAAATTTTCAATTGCGTAACAAATTACCCATATCATCATCCTCGCCTCCCCATGCCCAATATTTGTTGGAGTATCCGTTGACGGCTCGATAGTCTCGCATCCGGATGGCCAGCACTCCGCCAACAATTTCCTTGTACCACAGCTGATATCCGAGATTGCTGACGAATGCTCCGATATGGCGAGGGGTGGGTGGGCAAGTGTATGGATTCCGATCGTCCTGTGGGAACATGTCCACATCTGAAAATTCACTCGTAAGGACCTTTTTCCTTAGCGGGGGAGGGCAATTTTTCCTATGCGGAAGATTGCCATATAAATAATTTTAATCGCATTTTGCGCTCTGCTTTAGTGATAAGAAGATCATAAAGCAACAATATCCCAAAAAAAAATTAATTTTCTCAAAAATTTCAAAAAAAATTTGCTATATTTTCGTGGACGTCGAATAATGAAATTTTAATAATTTTAATAGCATTATACGCCCTATTTGAGATCTAAACGTTCAATAAAACATCCTTTTAGGCCAAAAATCTCAGCAACTTTTCCGGTTTTTTACTTTTTAGGAATCGAAAACTGCTAAAATCACGAAGAAAATAGCCTATCTCATAGACTAGACATTCGGCTGTATCAAAATTTAGCCCCCCCCGCTAACACATCAGAACCTTTTGCAACATCTCCATTTCCTATGCCAGCGTTCCAAACTCCTCCCAATTAGCTATAGGTTCCTCACGAGTTCGGGAGAGTCGAAAAGGCTCTCATTCTCTTTCCTCTTTCTCCTTTTTTGGGCTAAAAAAACGCGCGAGACGGGTTTGAGGAAAAGGAAAGTGAGAAGCAGAGGCAGGCAAGGTCCAACTTTTGTTCCGTTTCTCGCGAATGGCTCGACGGGGAAGTAATAAAGTAGGATTGAGAGATATAAAGCAGTTGCCAAAAAAGATGGGATGATGGTTTGGCGACCGGCCAAGGGGTTTCGTGGGCAAAATACTCGGTTTAACTATCAAGGGCGCAAAAGGCAAGCTAGCAGAGAAGTTTTGCGAAATTTGATCCCTTTAGTTTTTCGTTCGTTCTCTTTCTACGTTTTTTCTCTTTTGTTTTTGACGAAAATCTGAATACAATTCGTGGGCTGACTGAAGGCTGAGCGGGGGATTATTCACCAAAACTTTCCCAGCCCTCCCCACACAATACGAAAACCCTCAGCCGAAAAAAACCGACCGTGAAATATGACACAATCGACGGCGAGCTTCTCGGCCAGTTGGAAAGCCGCGTTCATGATACGGCCCTTGTTGAACAGATCGTTGCCCCACTGAAAAATGACGAAAATTAGAAGAATCACTTATTATCTAAGCTTTTTGTACACTAGCTGGCCTTGAAAAGGCCGTGTTTTTCGAAGATACATGCGCTGCACGCGATTTTATCGAGGGGAGAAGTTCAAAATTCGGGCCCATTGTTGTTCGCAGACTTGGCAAAATCTGACCTGCTCGGTGACGATAAAGCGAAAGTCGAGGCGCTGCTTCTGGAGGACAGGGATCAGGAAATTGAGCAGACGCGTCAAATGGGATTGACGATCTCGATACGGGATGATGACGGCCACTTTGTAGAGCGCCTAAAATCGAGGTTAAGATTTGCGCTTCAAATCTACCTTGCAATCCGTCGGGGCCCAGTGGCCACCCGGCTGGATTTCTGGATGCGCCGCCACGACCTCACCTTCCTAAAACAGAGATAAAAGTTTAGCAGACGATCTACAACCATTTCCGCCCTAGAAAACCCAACAAACCTTCAGATTCTGAATCAACAACGTGGCCTGGTGGAGCGAGCCGTTCATATCGGGCAGTTCGCCGACTTCAGGGCAACTCGAATTCGGGCTCAATCTAAACGATTTTAAACCATAAAATTTAGAACCCTCACGTTTTCTTGACGGGCGGCGGTTCCCTCAGCGCCTGTTTCTCGTTCAAATCGGATAGATATTTTAGCGTTTGTCTAAAACAACAAATTTCCAAGAGCCGCTAAGTTTTTACCTAGAGTTCTCCAAATCCTTGTCTGACCATTTCATATTGATATCTGCTATCCGCATCGAGTCAATTCTAAAAAACAGAGTTATCTACACATTTAAAACTTACTTATTAGATTCCTTAGCCTGAGCCTTTTCCTCTGGTCTTCTATCATCGTCACTGGTCGCCCGGAAGCGGGGCGTGTGGTAAAATGCCAGATATCCGATCGACGTAGCGAGCAGAACTACGAAGAACCTGGAAAATTGTGAGTTCCAGCCAAATCTGGGTATGTGTACCTCTTTAGAGACGCGGCTCTCATCGTCTGGTTAGTTATTAGATCTTCTAGAACATATCTGAAAGAAAGAATGGAATTTAATGAAATTTGAAATTGTTGAAAACCACGGAAAGCAAGGAATTGGGCAATTAGCAAATTTGGCAGGGCTCTCACCATCCCCGGCTTTTAAAAAAAGCATTGATTCTTAATAATTAGGGCTAAAATAGCGCTTTTGACATCAAAACTGTTCGTAACAACCTTAATTTACTATTTTAGATGCTTTATTTCCCTTTAGTTGATGATTGTAGGAATGGTATCGTGCGACTAAATTTGCTAATAGTCCTAAAAAGAGCGTTACTAGGCCACTAAATTTGTATAACTTGTGTATTATAACATGGAAGAACCGTGCGAAATTTGCCAATTTCCGGAAATCAAGAAGTAGAGTAGTAATAAGGCGGTTATAGACTGACAAAGGTGCCAAATAGACAGCTTATAGTGGAACGGGGAGTGTGCATTGGCAGCCAGCTGAGTCTTTAGGCGACACTCCACTCGCATTGTATCAAAGGGGTCATTGTCTCGGCTTTTTGTCGGGCTTTGAGTGCGACTCCTTCCCTTCCCCCTTCCATTGCAGCGCTGCCTGCCAAAGACGAGAGAATCCCCCGTGTCCCGCCACGATTCCCCTGCACACTGGTGGTCTAACCGAGCCATCGAGGGCCCCGGGTCCCCAATGCCCCTCCCCCCGTCCCGCAATCCCTACACTTTCGCTCGGCTTCTGTTTATTTTACTCATTTTGGCCATCGATTTTTATGATTTCATTTACACGATCATTTTCAGGTACATCTCGGCTGTAGAGGGAATACGCCGGGCAAGATGGTGCGTTCTTTTTTACCCTAGAAAGCTGGAAAATTCGGGGTTGATTCATCAGTCCACTTAGTCAAAAATCGTAGACTATCAATTTTCGGCAGTGAATTTCGCGTGACGAACTTTGAGCAACTTTACGGAGCGAGAAAACGGGGAGACAAAGGAGTAAAGTTTAGTCCCGAAAAATTCGCTCGGAGAGTTGCTGGAACAAAATTTACCTGAGTGCAAAATGTATGGTCCCGAAAAACGAGGAAAACCTTTTTTTAGGAGCTTTTCGATCGCTGGTTGGGCAGAAAAGTTCGAGTAGCTTTCTCCGTTCTTTTTTATTCAAAGCCCCCATAGCCTCCACTTTTGTTTAGTCATCTTGTTTACAATCTCCAGGAAGCGTTGAAAATCATCAATTGGTTAAAATCAAATAAATTCGTTGTGTTTAGTTTTTACTAATAATATCGATCGGGGAAATACAGGGCAGCAGTCTATGATTCATCATTTTTCAGAGTGAACAACAATTCGACTGTGCCCTCGACCTGATGCGTCGACTGCCACCCCAGCAGTGCGAGAAGAACCTCTCCAGCCTAATCGATCTCGTGCCGGGGCTTTGCGACGATCTCCTCTCCACCGTCGATCAACCGCTAGCCGTGGCCAAGGACCCGCAAACCCAGAAGGAATATCTACTCTGCGACTACAACCGCGATGGGGATAGCTATCGGTTTGTAAATTTTTGTGGCTAAAGTAACAATAAAAAGGTTTCTTGATCATAATCCAATTTTTTTAGCTCTCCTTGGACCAACGAGTACGACCCGCCAATGCCCGATGGCCACTATCCCTCCGATAAGCTCCGAACTCTCGAGGTCGAGGCCAACGCCGCTTTTGAGGCCTATCGCGATTTGTGAGTTTTTTTTCGGAAAAACCTTATTTTTATTTTTTTAGGTATTTCGAGGGCGGCGTCTCGTCCGTCTATTTCTGGGAGCTGCAAACGGCTGGATTTGCCGGTGTTGTGCTGATCAAGAAGGTGAGGAATTTCAAGAGAGTAAAAATATCGTGATTTTTTAGCAAGGCGACGGGTCGAAGAGCATCAAGGGCTGCTGGGATTCCATTCACGTGCTCGAGGTCAATGAGAAGGTGAAAATAAATGCTATCATTTTCAAACACCGTTTTTTAGAATCGCAACGCGCACTACAAGCTGACGTCGACGGTGATGCTGTGGCTGCAGACGACAAAGACGAACAGTGGCGTGATGAATCTTGGTGGAAGTATGTCGCGACAGGTGAGATATTTTTATTATAATACCGGAAAAGACGTACTTTTTTGATAAAATCCTTTATTTTAATCCTTTATAAAATGTCATACCTAGCTCTAGTCAAACTCTCGCTCCCGATTTTCACTCTGCAGATTATGCTAAGGCCCAATCCGAGTTATTTATTACCGACTGGTCATTTCTTTCCCTCGCTGATCCTATCCAAGCGACCTATGACAGATTTTGCCTGGAATTCGCGAGAATAATCAATGACACCGTCCCCCGTAGGCTCAAAGGCACCTTACCTAAAATCCCGCCCCACATTCAGCGCTCTCTTAGGAAGAAAGATGATGCCTGGTCTAGATTTATTGCGACGTCCGGTAGCTTTGATGAGTATCTGGCCCATTCCAAACGGCATAAAGTAAATTGCCAGAAATTCTTGAGAAACGCGGAAAAACGCATATTTGCCTCTGGTAATCCCCGCCTCTTTTTCGCCCACATAAAATCTAAGAGTAAGCCAAATCCCATCTCACTTCTCAAAAATCAAAATTCTCCCAAAATCACAGACGAGGCGGAGGTCTCAGAGGAATTTGCAGCCTATTTCTCGCAGGTTTTTCAGCCCGCTCGAGGGCAACGTGCCCCCTCCCATCATCCCGACCCCTCGCCCCCTTTTTTGTTCACCCCTAACGATATTGACAAGGCCCTAGCTTCCATGAATCCAAAAACCCACTGGACGCCCGAAAACATTCCCACTCTTTTCCTCAAGAAATGTTCGGTGATACTCGCTCCCGTTCTGACTAGGCTTTTTAATATCACCTTACTAAAAGGTGATATCCCCGCTCACTGGAAACTTTCTCGAATAGTACCCCTTTTGAAGACCGGCGACGAAACTAAGGCCCAAAACTATCGCCCAATAGCCCTCACATCATCGATTTGCAAAGTTATTGAAGTTGCGCTGAAACACAAAATAATTTCTTTTCTAGATGCTAAACAGTTCTTTTCCCCGGCCCAGTTTGGATTCAGAGCCTCTCATTCTACCACCGCGCAGCTCATCAAAATGTTCCATGACTTTGCCAACATGTTAGATTCCGGTGAAAAACCAATAAGCATATATTTCGATCTAGCAAAAGCTTTTGATAAAGTCCCCCATCACATTCTCCTAGATAAAGTCGCCCAAACGGGCCTGCCTGTTCCCATATACTCGTGGTTGAAAGCCTATCTCACCGGTCGGACTTTTCATGTACAGAACGGAGACTCAGTTTCTAAGCCACGTCCTCAAACCTCGGGGGTCCCGCAGGGTAGTGTCTTAGGGCCCATACTTTTTTTGATCTTCATAAATGATCTCCCACCCCTTCTAGTAAACAAAAATCTCTTATTCGCTGACGATCTCAAAATCTATGCAGGTATTGGGCCGCGCTCAGGTCCCAGTCCCCACACCTCTATCCAGTCCGACATCTCTATCATAGAAAAATGGGCCTCGGAAAATGGGATGTCCCTCGCCGTTAATAAGACCTTTTGCTTAACTTCCCTAAGTCCCGCACCTCCCTTACTTCTCGCAAATAGCCCAATCGAAACGGTCGATATCATCAAGGATCTCGGTGTTAGATACACAAATAAGCTCTCTTTCAAGCCGCATATCACTGAAATCTGCGCAAGAGCGGCGCGAATTTCGTACTTAATCATCAAAAAGATTCAGGTACCCAATAAAACTACTTATATCCGCGCTTTTTTGCACACTATGTAGACCGATTCTGGAATATGCGAGTGAAGTTTGGTCTCCATCCCGCAAATATCTGATTCAGAAGATCGAAAATGTCCAGAAAAGATTTACCTTTCATGCCTACTCTAAACTTTGCCCAGGGTTTCCCGTAATTCCGTATGAAGAGAGGCTAGCATTTTTTGAAATCCCCACCCTCGAAACACGCCGAAACCAAAATGACCTCGTCCTGTGCTATCGAATAATTTTCCAGCACAGCTATCCAGTCAAATTTCTTAAACTTGCGACGCGACCTTCTAGGAGTTCCCACAGGTTCCAGCTCACTAGATTTAACAGCGTAGGAGATACCCTAGGTCTATCTTTTCACGACGCATCATAAAACTATGGAATTCACTTCCGCCACCTCTCCTCTTGAACCCTCCGACCAGCGCGAAACGCTTTAGGAAAAGTCTTGAAACCCTTCCCCTAGCCCATAATCCCTCCTAAGCAAAAAACCTATTATCCCCGTCCCTCGTCTTTCACCCATGTTTTTTTTTCACTTTACGTGTTTATCATTTTTTTGCCTACGTTATATTACCCGGTTGAATAAACCATTCATATATATATATATATATATATATATTTTTAGCTGGAACAAGACAACCCGGTGACGGAGGGCAACGGCCATCTGGTGAATATTGGGCGAATGATCGAGGAGCAAGAGTCCAAGATGCGCCTCGCTCTCAACGAGATCTACTTTGGGAAGACAAAACAGGTATCCGGGGGACCATTGATCGGCATTTGCTCCCTGTGGCCCAACAGGTCTCTGCTGAATTTTTTATGCGCCCCGACTTTCCGGTCCTGAATTGATCCGGAAGTGATTTTTTTCGGTTTGAAGGAAGATTTTTATCGATGGCAAGCTAGCAAAGAATCTTTGGGGAATGTTTTTAAACCAAGGGGGCAAACGTTTTTCCTAGGATCGAATTTTTCTAGATTCATAGAGGAACGGCTTTTTTACTACTTCCACATGCAAAATGTTTCAGATTTTTAGTAAAAATACAAAAAAGCTATTTTTCGACCAAAAGGGCGTGATTTTCAATAAAAGTGGTTAGCATTATGCCAGGTTTAAAAACCTCTTAGTAAGTCTGAATTTTATCAGGAATGCTGTTAAAAATTGCTATTACATTACTAGGCATCGTTTCACCCCCCTGTTATTGCACAAGCGCCAAATTTGCGCGGATCCGAACGCTAAATTTGATATTTCGTTCCAACACTTTTTTTTTGCAGGTGATCGGCGACCTTCGCACCGTGGAGAGCACCACCGAGCTGAAGGCGCGCGAGAACAACATGCAAGAGATCAAGACGGCCATCCAGGGACGCCACGGTAAAGCCACCGATGCCTAATTCCCCCCTACATCGTCTTGTTTTTCTGATGATTCTCCGCTTCCGGCCTTGATTTGGATTGTTTTCCCGCTTCTTTAATCTACTGCCCCCTCATCCCCCGAATGGAAAAATGCATTATGATGTATATAGATACAAAATTGATTTATGCCCCTCCGAAAATGCTGCTAGGCAACAACAAGGCGTTTTGTTCGCCCCCGCGCAATACACCACCTCCCCTAATTTATACAACTTTAAGGACGTTGAGCTTTTGTGTGTTTTTCGATATTCCTTTTTGATATTTAAGTCTGGGCGTCCGGCCGGGTTTTAAAGGCTTTTTAAACCTCTAAAACCCCGTGCTCGATCTCCGGCCCCGTTCGCTACACCAGCCTGCCTTCAACCCTCGCAAAATCTGCAGTCAGAGACCGTCGCGCGCCTTGTGTTCTCCTTCTTCTTTTCTTCGCTCTTTCTCTGTGCTTTTTTTCGTTGCTAAATAAAGTTTTTTCTAACATTTTTAACGATGTAATTTTTTGGATGACACTCGAAAATACCGGAAATTACTGGAAATGGTAAATTTGTGTTTTTAGGCCGATTTAGCGTTGTTTTTCGATGTTTGTTTATTGTATTTAACAGAGAAGAGAAATCAGGTAGTTTGAGTGGATATAGCATGGATATTTGGCGAAAGACTGTCGAGAATCTGGATCATTTTCAGGTTGTAAAAACAGAGAAATGGATGATCGAATCAATGCATAGGATTTTTAGGGAGGAAAAGACAATCGATTATTTGAAGGGATGGCAGCAGGAATTTTTCGGGAAGTAGATGACATAGTTGTTATTAGACGTGTTTGGCTATTTTCTATCGCAATGCGCGCGGACCAGTCTCGGGGAACCCAGCAAGAAAAAAAGGAGAAAAATCTGATATTTGGGCTTAAAAACTCGCAGAATTCGATTGGAATATCAGAAAACTAATTTTAAAAGTCGTCCAAATCGAATTTTGCAGTTTGTTAGGTCAAAATAACAATTTTTAAAATGTGAAACACAACCGAAAATCGATGTTTTAGGCAAAATCTCATAATGTTTGAGCGGCGATTGTTTAGAAGTAGTTTTTTTGGCAAGGATTGGCACAAAAAAGTAAAAAAAAATGCGGGAGAAATGTCAAATTTCAAAGTCTCGAAAAGGCGAAAACTATTCTACTGACAATTATAGTAAGTATTCGGGGGCATCGGGGCATCGTCAAGCTCCATATGCTGATGATGCTGCTGTTGTTGTTGTTGTTGAGGTGGATAATTAGGGGGTTGTTGGGTGTAGACGGGGATTGACACGAATTGCTGATGTGGAGGCAGCGAGTTGGTGCGGGCGAGTTGTTGCTGACCCTGCGGGGGCATTCCTGCAAATTTGTGGGTGATTTTTAGGTTCCTGAATTGTCTCTGCTAGCATGCAACTGATTTCTTAAAGGTTTTCTGCTAGTTTTCTCGCAGTTTTTTTTTCACTAATCCGACCTTTCTAGACCTAGGTTAGCGTCCAAAATGCCTTCGGCTAGCCTGCCCATTTGTCGGAATTTCGGTTACCGTTTTTTTATAATTCGAGCTTGAAATATTTAGTCGTGCATCCTAAATAGCCTCTGCTAGCCTGCCCTTTTTCAAAATTTTTCAAAATTCGTATTTTGCCAAATGCTCTCTGCTAGTTTCCGCCAGGATGCAGTTCGTTTTTGGACCGTCTTTTTTGCTTTTTTGTTGTTTTTTTTGCTCTCAAAATTTTCAAAAGTCAGGTTTCCCAAATGCTCTCTGCTAATTGACTCACCATTCATATGTCCCAAATACGGGCTGGATGAAATCCCTGGAGCCTGTTGCGGTGGAGCGTAGTTTCCGTTTTGATATCTAAAATATAACCGCTTATTTTAGGCGTTTTATTTTGTAGCCTACCGATTATCAAGTGAGGTGGTGACGGTAAACTTATGCTTCGTGCTCTCGACCGTCGAAATGAAGAATTGTGGGCGGTCCATGGGGGATTCGGGAGGGGTTTGGTGCATTCGTTGTTGCTGTTGTTGCTGTTGCTGCTGTTGAGGTGGTGGTTGACCCATGGAACATTGTGGAGGTGGGGGGAGGCATTGCGGGTCCACGTCCATCACTGGGTAATCTGAAATAGAGTTTTGCCTAGGAATGCTAGCAATTAGCAGAGGTAATTTTGGAAGCAAATTTTCATTTTCTTATGCTTTTCGAGGTTATGGCGGCCTAGCCGAGGCCATTTGGGAAGGGAAAATCACCTAAATTCTACTGATTTGTCAGATTAAGCCTAGGGCTAGCTAGCAGAGGTTCTTGGGCAAGCAATTCTAGTTTTCAGTGGATTTTGGGGCTTATTGCAATCTATCGGTTATTTGTGAAGACTAAACTAGGCGATTTTTGAAGTCATGGCAAGCTAGCAGAGATTTTTGGGGAATTGAAATCCTAGGAACCAGGCAGCGCGGGTTATTTTAGTGGGCAAACTAGCGGAACCCATTTAGGAATCATTTCCAACCTTGTTCGGGTCCTCCGTGCTCTGATAGATTATGAGCGACAGACATTGCCTGTCTAATCCCGGTGACCATATCTGGTGTAAGGGTCAGATTGTAGTCCGGGTCATCGTTGTCGTTCATATTCGTTGTTGTTGTCCCATTGGACCGAGATTTGGCATTGAAGTGGCCGCGTTCATTCCCTGATCGTTGTATTGCGAGATCATTCCGGGTAGGGAGGAGGAAGAGAGGCTAAAAATATTGTATTTATAGGATTTTAGCGTTAGAGAAAACTTAAGAGAAGAACTAGAAACATGATTTTGGATCTTTTGCAATATCGGGGGGAGGGTAACTTTTCCTTAGTTTCGATATTTTTTTAAATAAATAAAAGTTTCTACACTGTTATATACCAGTTTTAGACCTAAAAATTTTCCAATTTTTAGCAATAATACAGAAAAATCGATTTTCCGTAGCAAAATCACTGATTTTCGCCCAAATTTCCAATTTTTTCGAAATTTTTCTAATTTGCTGGAGAGTTTTTCTACTTGTAATATAGCTAGATTTTATCAAAAAATCTGTTATAATAATGGCAATTTGATTACTACGCCTCACCGGACTCATAGAAAAAATCAGCCGCTCCCGATATTGCAAAACCTCCGAATTTTTCATTTTTTTTGAGGATTTTTCTACGCGTAAACATAAAACTACAAAAAACCTACTTGTAGGCCATTCCATTCTGCATCTGATTTTGCTGTTGTTGTGGCTGCTGCTGTTGTTGTTGATGTTGTTGTTGATGCTGTTGTTGTCCACAGCCATTCGATATTCCATTCGGCATTCCATTCGGTAATCCATTGGGCATTCCGCCATTCTGATGAATACTTCCATTCGATCCTCGATGTTGCATTCCATTTCCTCCGATTCCTCCATTCATCATTTCCGGTCGATGATGGCCAGGAGGGGATGTATTTGATCCTCCGCTACAATGACTGCCAAGGGAATCGAGGGATGAAGATGAGGCCGAGTGGGAGAGACTCGAAGATAGAGGGCGCTCATCCAGGATCTGCAACTGGAAGTTGTAGCTTTGGTCGTAAAAGCATTTATGGTCTGTTTAGAAAATTTAGAAAAATTATGGGAAATCGCTAGCAGCTTTATTTTTTTGCGCGTTATTAAGGTTCTCGCTTTCAAAAATTTTGTAAAAAATCGCTGGCTGCCTGATTTTGAATGTTCTTGATATGGTTTTGTAGCCCATCGCTGCTCTATTTGTGAAAAAATATTTGAAGGCCAAAAAATATATTAAAAAATGGAATAAGCTTGCGAAAATAAAAAAAATCAGATTTTTAAAAAATTTCAAGGAGATTTTGTAGACCCATTAGATTTATTTATTTCTTCTTATCTTTTATTTTATTTCGGCGATTTTTCGAAATTTTCGATTTTTGTCGATTTTGAGCTTGTGGCTTGTTTTTGAATTGAATTTGAATTTGAGATTTGGACAACAACCAGATCGATTTTCGTACCTGTTCCGCGTGAATACTATGCGTGTCCTCTTCCTCGTCTTGTAGCGACAAGAAATCCCTCATCAATGGATCCGTCAAAGTGTGCAGGATGGAATCGACGAATTGAAGATTTTCAACCACAATGTTCCCAATTAGCTAAATTATTCGATTATGTAAAAGTATTCTTTAATTCTTACATATACAGATGGCAGTAGCAGCAGAAGATTTCCAAATCGGCTGGACGCGACTTCTTTTGGGTGTGTTTCTCTGACGACATGGTATAATGTCTCTTGCATACGATCTCGAAGATCGGCTACAGCTTCTGAGGCATCGGCTGAGAGGGGACGACATTCTGAACGAGGCATATTGACTTGGAATCTAAGCCAAGCCGACTTACGAGAATTGAGCAGCAAAATGGCCTTGAGCAGGACGGCTTCCTCCTCCCGGAGGCTCATCTGGCGGAAGGGGAGCACGAGCTCGTCGAGGGTACGGGGGACAACACGGTTGGCGAGATGGCTGGAAAGAGAGACGGTTAGAGAGGGAGAGAGAGAGAGAGGGAGAGAGAGAGAGCGAGGGAGAGAGAGAAAGAGAGAGTGCGGGAGAGTTAGGGAGAGAGCCAGAGAGAGAGAGAGTGAGAGAGTGAGAGAGAGAAATAGCGAGAGAGAGAGAGAGAGACTAGTTAAAGAACCTACTATGGATCATCAAAAACTTTCGACGCATTCCGTGGCACACATCCATAATTGCAGAGGCAGAGCACGTCGTGAGCACGAGTACACGAGGCTGAGGCTGCCGAGAAGGAGAGCACGAGCAGGGGAGCGTAGCCGTGCTTCACGAGGGCTAGCTAAAAATGCTGGATTCCTCAATGATCTCTGCAAGCAGTCTAGCTTTCCTCAAGAATCTCAGCTAGTTCCCCGCTTACCTTATCCTCAACATTATGCAAATCCATCATATCACACAAATGATCAACCCAATCGATCACAGCAAGGAGATTTCTTGAATTTTTGAGGTTTTTTGCCATTTTCTACAGTCCTACCTGTGTGCAATAGCGGGTAATTCGACTTGTTCGACGTGTCGAAATGCCTCGTATCTGATTTCAGTCTTTTTGCCGTCCAAAAGTGAGGTATCCTCCAATAATTGTCGTAATGTATACGAAAGAGGGTAGATCGAACGGGCATCCGATGGCGCATCACCGCTGTTTACCTGAAGATATCGTGATTTTTGGAGGTTTTTTAGCGGTCACTGTCCCTTTGAATGGAATTTTTACGTTTTAAGGGGGGCTTAGACAGCTAGATCCAGCGTTCCTGGACGGGAAATAGCGATTAGAAAATTTGTAAAATTGCAAAACTCTGATAGAAACGCGTGTAACTATCTGTCACTGTCCCTTTAATTTGATTTTTCGCGTCTTAAAGGGGTCGGACAGCTAAATCTAAAGCTTATAGACGAAAAATAACGGCTTGAAAATTCTTAATGGATTGGAAAATTCTTAAATCGCCAAGATTTTGACAGGCACGCTTTAAAATGGAATTTTTCATTTTAAAGGAACGGTGACAGCTACTTTGATTTCTCGGTGCTCACCATAACATCAGTGTTCATTAACTGCATCAACGTCGTTCTCATATCGACCGGCAGCTTCCTTGTCCATTCCGAATCGACTTCCCCCTCATCATCTGTCTGTTGTCTTCCCCTTCTCGCCCTCCCTTGATGTCGTCCGGTCGCGTCACGGTCCGGCCGAACGGCTGAAAAAATTGGCTTATAGATTTTTAGCCGATTTAATCGATTCATTTTTGAAAATCTACTCATTTGAAAGCTTTTTATCCGATTACGACATGAAATCCCCAGTAAAAATTGTTTTGGGTTTTAAAACATAATTTGACGTCATTTTGATCAATTTTTTATAAGGAATCCGGTTACGGCATGAAATGCTGACTTTTCAGCTCCTTTAAAGGGCTCTTGGAGTTAAGATTATACCAATTTTGTGGTGTCTGACACTTCAAACCCCGGGCTATCGCTCTTTTTCTCTCTCGCTCTCTCTCGCTCGCTCTCTCTCTCTCTCTCTCTCTCTCTCTTTCTCTCTCTCTCTCGCCTACCTTTCGGATCCATTCCAACATCGAGACATTTCTTGAATCGACAATATCTACATGAATTCCTCTCTTGTCTATCCACCTAAAAAGAATCCTTTGACGTTGATAGATTGTGATGGGGATGAGACATACCACGCATGTTCCATTATGGCGGCACTGGTATTCGGTTGGACGCTTCAGGGCACGACGGAAGAAGCCTTTGCCTGCAAACAATATTTTAAAGCGACCGAAAAAAAACAAGAAAATTAACACAAAATAAATACGATTTTCTGATCAATTTCTCTCAAAAAAAAACACGCTATTAAGCGTTTTAGAGGGTCCTAGCAGCTAAAAAACTTTTAAAAACTCGATATCTTCAATATTTTTTGGCTTTTAAAAGACCACCGTGAAGGCAAAATCGCAAAAAAAAATCGGAATTAGGCACTTTAAAAGCCCCTCGGAAGTCTAAAACCCAAGAAAAACCTCGAATTTTTCATATATTTCCATATCTTTAATTTTTATATTTTAGCTTAAATTAACTTTATTATTTTATATTTATATATTTATATTTTTTAAGGATTTTTAAAGGACCATTTAAGTCAATTTTACGAAAAACTCACATCCAAAGCACGTCAGGACGCCGTAGTGCATTTTCGCAGAGCTATCCCCGCAGACACGGCACAACTCGTGCGAATGGTCGTGCTTTGGCTCTAAAATAATTTATTTGTAAGGATTTAAAAGTCCAGTGAAGGCAAAGGGGGCGTGGATTTGAACTTTCGAGTCCCAACACCATTAAAAATTTAAAACTTGAAGCTTTCAAGGTTGTAACTCTGGTTTAAAGGGCCGTTGAAGCTAAAAATGGGCGTGGTTTAGACTTTCGAGTTCCTACACCTTGAAAAAGCTGCAAATCGATCTTCTAAAGGAAAATTCAAGCCAAAAATCGCGTGATTTTAGAGATTTTCGGCTAGATCTTTTCCAAAACCATGTAAATTTTGTTCTAAAGGACCATTGAAGGTAAAAAGTGGGCGTGGCTTACTGGATGCAATTGGCTGTTGATGTGCATGTCCATTGATAGATGTTGGATGGATAAGCATTGGGGAACTATTCCTTCTCATCATGTTGTTGATCTCCATTTGGGATGTTTCTGATATGGAGGACATCGATGACACTGGCTATTACTCTAGTAGAATCACCTGAAAAATATACATAAAATACCGTAATCAGATCATAAAACATGAAAAACCTTAAAAAACACAAAGATTTTTAGTTTTTACGAGTCTTAGATCCTAAATGACCTCTGCTAACATCTCTAGGTCTTCAAAAATTGTTATTTAATCTATTAAAGCGCCATAAGAATCCCAAATGATCTCTGCTAGCCTGCCCACTCAATAAAAAAGGCCTTTGGCCCTTGACCAGCCTAAAAAGTGACCCGTCGCAGTACCCAATCTGATGGGAAAATAGAGGGGAATGGATAGAGCAAACTAAATGCAATGGAGCGGGAGGGAGAGAGAGTGGAGAGAGACAGGAGAGGGCTGAGAGAGAGGGAATGATTGGGAGGAGAGGAGGAGGTGGATTATCAATCAATCAATTGAGATGGACAGGCGGATAGAGAGAGATCAACGAGCGAGAGAGAGAGGGGAGAGAGAGAGAGAGAGAGAGGGAGAGAGAGACAGAGGCAGAGAGATTGCATTATAACAGGTAATCCAGATAAAAATGACCACGGCTGTTACCATTTCTGGAAAAATGCCCGAAAAATGAGTCAGCTCATTTCTTTCGAGATAGGGCCGGCTCGCATAGATTTTTAGGGAGTGAAATTTTATAGCCAGGGCAAGCTAGCAGTGTTTGTTTGGGAAAATAAGTCCAAAAATTTTATTTTCACAAATTAGCTTTAAATCAAATTCAGATATTACTGTCACAGACAAAAAAAATAGATTATTGCCCATTAAAGATAGAAAATTAGATTCCTAAATGACCTTTGCTAGCTTGCTTTAATAAATTTATCGAAAAAGGTTAAAGAAGATCAGGAAGATATAAAAAATCCATTTAAAAACAATAAAAAAAATCATAAAAGGAGGATTCGAACCCAAAATCCCTTTTTTAAAGTGATATCACTCAGGAAACGGGCAGATCTCGAACATATGTCTGCCCTTCCACTATCAGTCATCTGCACTTTGTAGCCCCCCGGAAATTAACCTTCAAAAATTCCTCCTATCTGCCAGACGACCCGCTTCGTAAAATTCCCGATTTGTTTGCCAAACTGCGCGAATATTTTAGCCCTTCCAATAAACATTTTTACAACCTCCCTCTCGCGACTCGATTGACCGAGCAGAGATTTGAGAAATCGAATCGAATCCCGCGGAAATAACCCATTTTTGGCAGTTTGAGGGCCACGTAGTGGTCAGTGATCAATGTTTATTGCATTTTGAGGCGTAAAAAAGGGGGTGAAAACGAGATTTTTTCGTCGGTAGTACGGATGCGGAACTTTGCGAAAATTACCTGTTCTCTAAAGAGTGTCTTGGAAAAACAAACATGAAATAGTAGAATTACACTAGTTTATCTTTCTCTCTCTCTCTCTCTCTCTCTCTCTCTATCTCTCTCTCTCTCTCTCTCTCTCTCGCTCGTTGAATTCAGAAAATTCCGAAAATGACATCATAAATCCTTGCACGTTCTTTGCAGCGGAAAAAAAGGCGTAAAAATGGACGGAAGGAAACAAACAATTTTTCAAAAACAATTGAACGCCAGAGAAAAATTCCTCGCAAAAAAAGCAGAAAAATTGCTAAGAAAGGAATAGGGAAATCGCAAAATTTAGCAAAAATTACACGTTTTGCAAAGTTCTGCTGTACTTTAAGCATGAATTTGCATAAAAGTCCTTAAAATTAGACCGTTGGAAAAATTTTAAATGCTTTAAAACACAAAATATAAGCAAAATTAACCGGAAAAAATGTTAAAAACGTAGCTTTTATCGGAATAAACAAAGCACCGTACTTCTCTTTCTTTCTTTATATGGTTCTAAAATTTGTCTAAATGTAGCCAATTCTAAATCTCAATCGTTCTAATATTCAGTTATCAAATTGAAACGATTGTTAAACACTAAAGCATACATTTTTGCAGCACTAGTTTGTGAAAGTATCCCCTCGTAGGTCCTCTGACGCACATCAAGGCGTGGAAATTGAATGAAATTGGCCCTTCCCCCCAGTCTAGAATATCCAATAAGGGGCCGAGAAGAGCCGCAAAAGTTGGACTGAATGACGTCAAGCTTTCCAGACCCCCGTTTCTGCGCTTTTGCATAGAAAAATCAATATTCTCTCGGCTATCTCGGCTATGTGTTGTTGTGGGTTCTTTAAGAGGATGTGGAAGAGATGAAGGGACACAAAAAGGGGAACAGGAAGGCTTTTCTTCCCGCAATTTTACGTTTTGGATGTGGATGGGGGGGGAGAGAGGGAGAGAGAGAGAGAGAGAGAGCGAGAGAGCGAGAGAGAGAGAGTGAGAGAGCCTAGAGAAACAGAGACAAAACAAAACGAGTGGCCGGGGCTGTGGGGAGGGCCCGAAACTGCTTCTTCTTTTTCTCTTCCCCTTTTCTCTCTTTTCCGCCTCTTTCCTATTGCCAGTTTTGCAGTGAGTCACTGGCAAAAGGGGCTAGCAGCAGCGGCTGGGCCCCACCAGACATCTTGGACCCAATGACGCCATTGGGCCACAGGGGAAAAACGGGTTTGGCAGGAGAAAATTTAGGATGTTACAGGCTAAAAATTCACTAAAAATCTATTTAGATATTTTTATTTACCTTAGAAAAATTGTTTTCGTGGATTAAAGGAACTAGGAAACCGAAACGTCTTAAAATTACCTGCTAAAAACATTTTTAAGATTTTAAAATCCGTTAAATTCCTTGGAAACGGATTTAAAACTAGCATAATCCGGCAAAAACAGTTTAAAATCAGTTTTCTAATTCTTTTATCTTTTCTAATTGGGGCATTTTTCAAAACAAAAACATGAATTTTTACGCCGAGTTAAACCTCGTAAGCGATTCGCATTTTTTTAGTTAATCAGAATCAGTTTAAAACTCGTAAATAAAAACTAAAAAAACAGGACGGAAAAATTTTTAGGTTAAAAATTGGTATTTTCAACAATTTTCACGTAATTCAAGGTCGTAGTCGGATGGAAAAGAGATAATTTTGAAGAAAAGCATTTGCCTTACGTTTGAAAAAGCTTCAAAACATATAAAAATTATGTCAAAATACAAATTTTAATGACTTTACTACACGTCGTCATCTATTAAAAATCATGTTATTAAAAAAAAAAAATGTTTTGGGGGGGTGTGTGCCTTTCTTGGTGTGTTGGGGGGGAATTGGGGGGGGGGAATTTTTTTGGTTGGGGGGTGTTTTTTGGGGGGGGGGGTGGGGGGGGGGGAAAAAAAAAATAAAAAAAAAATTTTTTAAAAAAAAAAAAAATTTTTTAAAAAAAATTTTTATAAAAAAAAAAAAAAAAAAAGGGGGGGGGGGGGGGGAAAAAAAAAGGGGGGGGGGGGGTTTTTTTTTTAAAAAAAAAAAAAAAAAAAAAAAAAAAAAAAAGGGAAGGGAGGGGGGGGGGGGGGGGGGAGGGGGGGGGGGTTCGACTTAATACCATAACTCTACCCCTAAGAATTCCTATAAAACACTTTAAAAACTCTAGAAAAGTCCAAACTCGGTACATACCAGTGGAATTCCGCGAGACACCTCTGAACGGGAGTGTCTGACGTTGATATATACACGCATTTCGGGGGCACAACAATAAGGGAGAACGGGTGATTTGAGACTCAAAAAGAGGAAGATTCCGCTGGAATACACAGGAGGACGAGACGAGATAAATATGGTCTCATGCTCAGAGGAAAAGAGGGGGGTGGGGGAGTATTCGGCATACACTCACAGATCGACATCAACGGAACAGGGCGATCGGATATTGAGAGGGGAGAGAAAGAGAGAGAGAGAGAGGGAGAGAGGGAGAGAGAGAGACAGAGAGAGAAAGAGAGTGAGAGAGAGAGAAATAAAGAGAGAGAGAAAATCGCTGCGGTCAAAGTTTATTGCCCCGCCTTGGCTCGGGATCCGATTCCTGTTAAACGGAGATCATGAGAAAATCCATTTTTCTATAGAGTTTGGCGATTGAAAAGTTTGCAGATTTAAAAAGGAGCTGCCCAGGACGTGAAACGCTGCACAGGACCTTATATGTACGTGAAAAAACGAAATCATGAAATCGAGCGAACTTGACAATTTTTAACTCCTGAAAATGCTATGGATACAATCTTTGTGTAGATTTTGTTAATTGGATAAATTACCGGATACTGGCAAATGTCCATCTATCTCTGCAAAAATAGGAGAATCCTTGAGCGAAAATATTCTGGATCGAGTGGATCGGATGGATCAAAAAATGACCCAACCCGGGGCGGTATCGCCGAAGTAAGAAGAAAAATAAATTGCGCAAGAATACTATCCACGCCGCATTAACGGTTGTTTCCAATAGTACAAAAAAAATAAAAAATCAGACCCGAAGATCGCAAAAACCAACAAACTTTTTGAAAGACCTTTTTTGTGCGCAACAATTGATAGAGCCATTTGTAAGGGAAGTAAACCGATTGAAAAAGAAAGAAATAGAAGACTATTATCCAAAGAAATTATAGATGATTTTAAAATTTAAAATAATGTTTCAAAAATTGAGATAAAATTCAGAAAAATAGCATGTCAGGATGCACTTGGATGTAGTAATAATTTGGCCGCTTTTTTAAATCCTTAAAAATCAGATCAATGTCATTAATGCGTAGTTCTACGCTAAGAAAATCGAAAACTCGGCGGCTTTTCGCTGGTATGTCTCTCGGTTTCAGTCAGTCTGCTGATCGATCGATTTTCAACCCTGCCCTGTCCAACAGAGGGTCGACAAGAACCCCCATTTCTCGACACCTGACCCTCAAATAGAGAGAGAGCGAGAGAGAGAGAGAGAGAGAGAGAGAGAGAGAGAGAGAGAGAGAGAGAGTGATAAGGAAAAAAGAGAATGCAAGAAGAAGTGATAAGTGGGACGGGCGCGAATTTTCGGAATTTGTACGAAGCGATGGGTGCCATCCGAAGCATTCGAAAAATGGCTGATAAGGGAGAGATTTTAGCTACCTAAG